CGGGAACGCCTTGCGCGTAGGTCGCGCTCCCCTCGAGGCAGGACGCCTAACTCACGCAGGGTCAATGACAAAAGAGTCACGTGAAAAAAATCCTTGGCGATTGACTTGCAGGGGGGCATTCCTACAGGTTCAAACGCGATTACGGGACAAAGCAGGGAACCCCTCGCCTTTGGCAATGCGTTGCCTACGAATAAAATATTAAGGGTTCACGTTTAAACGCTTCCTAGCCACATTCCACCTCACTTGAACCTGGTTCTTTCTCAAGAGGAGGTACCACCGAAAGCAACCCGTTACGAAACGTAATCCTTATGTCCATTGTCATATGTTTGAAAGGTAGAATCTAGAAAAGATGAAGACTTTCTCAAAACGTAAATAAATCTACCCGTTTTGAAACAGTAGATGGATTGGAGATGCAGGGAGAAACGCTGGCTCAAATGAACTGGAAAGAAAAGAGAAGCAGGGGATAGAAAGTAAAAAGGAGAAAAAGGAGGGCACGCCAGTAAGAACGTGAGGAAAAGAGAATGAATGAAAAGACTTTAGATTGTTTCTCAAAGACATTTGCTTCACCATCTGTGTGGACTAAGGGCACGTACCAAGTTATTGCAGGTCAGATGATACGTGGAAACTCATCAAACCTCTGTAAAATTGCTTCGGCTTGTCAGCTCCCATCATACAAAGTGGGAGAAGTTTCACAGCACCCTGCATATTTCCTCCAAAGCAACCGGGGCCGATTCTGGAATGAAATGACTGGGCGAATGGACTCTAGTTAATAGGAAACGTACAGTCACTGTAACACCTTAGCATAGCTTCATTTGCTGACCTCTTCACCATTCTGCCATCCAATTCCCCATCTTTTCCCTGTGTTACGGCTCAATTATTCCCCTTCTACATGCACCCTTTAATTATCTCTGAGAAATTCATAGATTTTTTCCTTATTCTTGCACTTAGTGGTTTTGCAGATATTGAAGGCACAGGCATGAAAAGAAGCGAATGAAGGAGAAGGGCACAAAAGAAACTTCTTGTGGAGTTGAAGAAGGTCAGATCAGATCACACTGCAATTTGGACTTTTTATGGGAGAAACAAATTCAATGCACTGGAGAGCTATACAAAAATAAGATAGGAAGACAGCTGGATAACTGGTATGGTGGCCAAACCTAGTACACACACCAAGAAGAACGTGCACTCTCAGATCAAATCTCTGATTATAATCAGATCAGTTTTTGTACAGTCTACAACATTCCAGTCTTCATTCTCCTTGCACTAAGTCACAAGCCTCAAAGATGAATCACTTTGTAATGTTTTCTTAGTCAATTGGAACAGAGGTACTGTTGAGATGCTGTAACTATAAAGTCTTTTTCCGTCTCAACAATGACATAAGAGATCCCTCAATGGATCACTTGTTTCATCACTGTTACTACGAAATGAACGCATGAGAAGTTTCTCTAGTATTAGTGTAAGTAGGAGGTGGGAGAGTATGGGGGAGTACCTGTTACTCCTGTCATAGCTACAGCAGTTCTGGAAGAAAAGAAGACTGCACAGTCCTGGGGAGAAACTGAGCACACTCAGCGAGGAGACCCTGTCGGTTTGCAGGAGAGCTCAGCAAGCAGGAGACTTAGAAGAATGGGGAGCAGCCACGCAGCCAGGTTTCTGCAGGGACAGAAAGGATGATTTTTCCTAGATTTCCAGGGTGGATTTTGTAGGTGTTGAATCCAGGCAGCCAGGGACAAGTCGCTGGACCAAGAGGGAGCCTGAAGGAGAGATACTGCCATGAAATGACACAGGGATCACAAGGCAATCGGTGTACAAACAAACGCATCTATTCTTTCCTATCTATCTTTTATATCTATTGTCTCATTCAGAATATTTTGGTTTAGAAAGTTCATCATTCTAGTTAATGATCTCATAAAACTTACAGAGTTTACAAATCCTTGTTAGTGTTCTTGGTGGGACTGCTTTAAGAAACACCATAGGCAAACCTCTTCCCCTTCCTCCCAACGCCTGCAAGGCTCAGATCAGAGTCCTGTCACAACTGAAAACGCCACCAGGTTTAGAGCTGCAGTCACAGCTGGGCAGAGGACACTGCCTCAGGAACAGCTCTGTCCCCATCACCTTTATTTGAGCTTCACGCTGAGGAAAAACTCTCCTTCAAGAAACACTGCCACCGATAACGAAGAGTCATATAAACACTGGAATTACCTGAATGTTGCACTCCTGCTGCTAAAGAGTGAGTTTCATTCTCTTTTACATGAAAGCTCTAGAAGATGCCTTAGTTTAATGTGAATCATGGTCAAATACCTCAGAATCAGGGAATACCACGTTTCTTCCTAAAAGGTTTTTAACATGGTGTATAGGATAGTACTGCCTATCTGTCAGACATCAGCGACAGAAGGCGGCTGTTGCAAATGTGTTACTTACCCAGCACTTGACACCTTTTTTTTTTCCTTTTTTTTCTTTCTTTAATCTGAAACCATAGAATCAGAATGCCCTTACTGAGTCACTGAGCTGATGGAAAAGCCAAGTTGCACATACCTCAGCTCTGTCTCCACTCCGAGGTACATCACACGATCTAGCAATTACCTAAGTTTTAATACTGGCAGTCCATGGGAAATGATTATGACTAAGAATGGAAGATTAGATATTTTTACTGCCTTCATCATAAAATTTATACAAGAAAAGATGCAGACACCTGTGCACTCGCCTGCATTCCTTGCCAGGCAGATACAAGCCAGTGCCAGTGTAGAAGCAGGGTAACCGTTGGCATTAGTGGGGTGTTCAGCCCACTGGTAAGTCCTGCTTCCCCCATACCTAGTGCGCCTAAAGCAACTCGTGCTTTAGGAGGCCACGTACACTACTGTGCTAAGGCAGTTGCTGTGCTGCAAGTGGAACATCCTGGGAGCAGTTTAAACCATGGGCTCCCCACTTGTCTGCAATGACAAATTCCAGCTGGTCCAAGTATTCAACCTACTGCTCTGCTCCTGTGCAGTGCAACTCGCACCTACAGACTTGACTCCTAGTGTGTGGAGTACAGACGATACGTGGAGAGTAAGGGCAATAAAAATGATGAACTAGAATGGGAAGATATCCAACTGGAACTGAAACTGGCAGATAACTACACACCAAATTAATTCTGTGTAGAAAACTGACATTACTAGTTTTTAGCAGTCTATGGAGTTTATAGGTTTTCTGTCAGAAATGCATTCGTCTGATTTACATAGTTATTGTATTGTAAGTCTGTGGTGCTTGTACAGTTTATATGACAAGACTCTACACAAATATTTTCTGGTGTACATTTCAGTTGCATGAGCATTTTTCAAATCAGACTTAATAGATCCTAGAATACAAGAGTCATGAAAGGACTTAGGCACCAGAAAAGAGATTTGGATAGAATTTCTGTATAAAAATCTGTGAGTTTGCTCCCCCCCCCCCCCCCCGATATTTAGAATGTATAAATGCTTTCATTTTCAGCAGTAAAGCTTAGCCTCTTTGTGGTGTTAGCCCAAAGTTCATCAGGCATATAAGACATAGGTTTTCTGAAATCACACATGCAATTCATAGTGCACAGGCAAAGGCAGCTTAGTCCAACAGATCATTTATTATTCTGTCATTGCTGTCCTTGCTCCTTGCTGTGGTGTCTGAGCCCCTCACGTTGATTTCAGCTACTTATTTCCACACCACCTCTCACAAACAGCAGTGTAACTATCCTCAGTAGTTTTAAGCATAAAGAGAAAACATGTGATACGTAAAAAAAAAAGATTTACAACATCAAAGAAGATAGGGAAGAGTTTCAAAAATATCCTGCTATCTTTTGTTTCATAGGCAGCAAGGTGCTTCTAAAAAACTTAATAGGAAACCAACTACCTTTTTTTCTTTTTTTTCTTTCCTTTAAAAAAAATCTCATTATAAAAGATTTACCCAAAATCAGAGAGGTGCCTTGGAGAGGGCAGGAACTGTACCACTGTTTCATGTCAGTCTTAAAAAAAACCAAAACATGAAAACCCAACCAAAAAAACCCGTCAACTGGAGAGTAAGTATAGTGTTATCTCTAAAGTAACTGTATTTATTTCTATGAAAGGAATTAATTCTGGGTTTTTTTGTAAAAATTTAACATGTATTTCTGGAAATTATTAACTTGTTAGCCATGAGTCTAGTTCAGTAACAAAGATAAAAGTCAATGAACCCTGCAAATATATTTTTAAAACTTAGCAAATATCTGTCACATTGTTTCACACATTTACAACTTTAACATTCTCTTTATGGTTTTTGGTGGGTTAATCCTGATCTCACGTTCATTTTACAATAGTGTAACTCTATGGACTTTGATGGAGTTAAATCTAGCTTGCATAACCTAAAATAAATCTGGTTAAAACAAACCCAGTGTCTATTTCCTCTTTATAGCAATAGACCTGTCTTTTAATCTATGATTGAAACAATCATGCTTGACAAGTGATTACTCTTTGACAAGTATTATGCTTTCTTTAGCACAAAAATAGATTTCAAAAAAGAATAATGGGGTAATAAAGTAGATTTGAATCTTGTCTACTTTTCAATCATTATGAGTTGTACACCCACACAGTCTGTTCTGTCCTGTTTCAGCTCTGACAATTATATACAATCAAGCTACAATTTAAGAGCCTTTATCAAAGTAAAAGGTAATGTTTATTAACATGAATGAGGAATACATAATAAGAATATAAGCAGCTTAATAACATGTAATCAAATAATCAGTACAGTAAACATATTTAAAGGGTGTACACTAAAGGCTTTCATTCACAGGTGAATAGTAGTTTACTTCACATTTCCATAAAAATCAAAGTTGTATTCTTTCAGGGATGATTTCCTCACCCAGAGCCTTTACTGACTGTTTCTTTTTTTTCTTCTTGATTTTTATTAATCTTCTTTCACCTTTCTTTTTATTGAATCCTAAAGGTAAAATGAAGAAAGTAAGATTAGATGCTGTACGACTATCACATCCAAGATTATCAGAAATAAGAGACAAGTCTTGTTTTCAAGAAATATTCTTAAAAAAAAGAAAAAAGAACATTGTCTTACCTAAAGTCTCCATATGCCTCACCAATGCCAAGTTGTCTTATTTCTGTTCTTCTACACCATATTTTACTGTCCATCTTTCTCTCTCTAGCTCTGTCTCTCTTCTGATTTCCATTTTCACTTTTCTAAGACTTTCAATTATTACCTTTTATCAGGCCAATGCTGACTACCAAAAGTTACAAGAATGTTTCAGCCTGCATAGTATTTACCTCTTATGATAGTCTGTGGCAGTATCACTTCCCATACCTTTCTTGCAGATCCTCAAACATGACTTTCTGGAGGTGAAGTTATTTTCATTCCCACCACAACCACTGTAGCTAAACGGGCGACATCTTCCAGTTGAGTAGTTGTAGAAAAATCTTAACTCTTTGGCTCTACAGAGTCCTCTGTCCACAGGGGTCATGCACAAAGAAGGGATAGGGGGTGGTTCTAGAAATACAAGAAAAACAAGGTTAGAGACAACACTGCAGTCTACCAGTTTTCTATTATATTGATATTATAGATGAGATTTGAAGCACACAGAACATTGAAATTTATATGAAATTTACTGGCAAATTTAATTCTGCCCTCCTGAAAATCAAGGATACTTTACATAAACATCTGTCTTTTTATGATTACAAAAAAATACCACAGCAAATGTCATTCCCTCTTTGAATTCCAAAAGCCAGCAAAAGCTTACCTGGAAGCCAGGTTTGTTTCCTATATATTAGTGATAAAATTGCCATTTTTGTGATAGGAGATAGTATTCAAATTCAATTAGAGAAGTTTCAAGTGAAGCATTTGTAGAAAGTGAAGCAAAATAAATTAAAGTTGGACAGCTTTAAAAACATGGTAAATACTTATGATAATTAATGAAGTGAATTTTCCTAATTGCTGCTAGACATTCTGAAATCAAATAGAAGGTAAAAGCACCCAGCATTTCCAACGTAAGGTTCAATACCTTAATATTGGGTTTGTCATATGAATACAGAAAGCTTGACCTAAGTAATAGAAGTTGGTCTATTGGAAAACACTGAGCAATTATCAAGAAATAGCTTGTAACTCGCAGAATAACAAAGGATTGCATGTGAAGAATAAGTGCACAAAGTGACTGAGATGCTGGTGATTTAGTGCTGCTGTTAGGTTTTTACCATTCCAAGGAGTAGGCTGACGGTTTGTTTCTTCAGTGTCGCTGCAAGTGAGAGTATGAGAACTGAAACACCGGAAGATAAACCTGAGGTATCCAAAGTACCCGGGCACTGGAACAAGTTCAAGAAGCAAATCCATGCCCGAATTCCCAAACTTGGAGGAACTCCATCATCTATCACCCTGGAGTGACTCATATACAAAATCAGAACTGACAAAATTGCTGCACAGGATGCAAGAAACCGAATGGCAGCCATTATATCATCAGTTATGAGGGACCCAAAGGAGCATCGTTTTCCTTCAAGAAATAGCAGAATTGAGATAGCTGAGATCTGAATGCATAAATAGAAATGTGAAGCTAGTCAGATGGCCTTCTTGAAGTTACCCAATATATGAGGGCCCGATATGCCGACCAGATCCATCCCACAGGGAAATCTGCTGCCTCCCTGGGGCCCAGGTCAGAGACATTACTAGGAAACTCCCTGGTCTGGTACGGTCTACCGACTACTACCCGCTGATGGTTATACAGGCTGGCAGCGATGAGGTTCCAGAGAGAAGTCCTGAAGCGATCAAAAGGGACTTCAGGGCAC